AGCAACTAAAACATATTGCTTCTTTTCATCACTTCCATAAACTGGGCTCGGTGCCCCATCCTCTGCCGTCAACCGGATGCAACACATGCACCCACACATATATACAGGTATATACGTACATGTGCACCGGGCTACGGGTATTACTCTTCCCTCCTTTTGTTAGGGAGTGTGTGTGGTTTTTTTTGTGGTTTCTGTGGGACTATGGGCTTGTCCCCTAATTCATTCTTTTTCTTTCTTCTTTTACGGCTTTACTTTGAGTGATGCTCTGCTGTGCCTTCTCACTGTGTGTGTGTGTGGGCTGCTGCTCTCTGTCTGTGTGTCTGTGTGTGTCTAACTGTCCGTCACCTATCTCCCTTTTCGCCGCCGCGCAGACCAGCGACCTGAAGTGAAGTGATGACGGAAACGATGACGGTGACGGTGCGCCACGTGCTGTTTGTACTTTCCCTCGCGCTGTGCTGCGCCTGCGGGTGCGTGGCGGCGGTGCAGCAGAGGCCACCTGAGGTATCGAGGGTGACTTCTCCTGCGGAAGTACCTGAAGGGATGACACTGGATCAGATAAAGCAGAAAACAAAAGAGGCGAAGGGTGCGGTAGACAAGGCTGCTGAGAGGATAACTAAGTACTTGACAAGAGCGGAGAACTTGGTCGAAAAAACAAAAACAGTCTTGAAAGCCAATGCCGTTGCAAGCCACGGCGATGTTTTGGGCACGGGGAGGGCGGCCGACGCGATGCCGGACGTGCAGCGGCCGATGAGTGCAATAAAATGGCATGAAAAAGTAATGAAGGAGGACCAGAACGCCTCACTTACATCATATAATTCGGTTTTGAACACGGCGCAGACGGATACAAAAGAACGTTTGCAGGACGCTTATGACCATTTGAGAAATGTGCAGGGTTTCTTGGCCAACGCTGACTTGAGAGCTGAGAGCGCAAGACAGAACGTAACGTTGGTTGTACAGGCGATGAAAAAGGCCCTCCACAAACTACAGACTTCAGAGGCATCCGTCAAACTGCTAGAGGAAGTGGAATCGTTAAGCAAGACACTCGAACCGATTTCACAAGCCACTGGTGGTGGAGAGGTGGCACCAGGCCAACCAG